CTCTTATAATTACTAACCATGTATTTGTGTGTGCTGAAGGCCGCGTTTATCACTTAACTATTGCAGGGACAGACAATAATTCCGGAAACAAGTAACCATACCTAGAGGCGACAGCACAACATTTTGCATGGGGAGGGGGATCTGCTCACCAACCCTCGCGCCAAAGGCGCGACCTTACTAGAGGGTCCTGTGGCACGATCCCCCGGAAAAGTTTTGAAATCTGCACCGTCTGAAACGCATTTTGAGTGGCAAGACAGACATATCTCTTAAAATGTGTCATATTCACACAAAACACAAATGGTTTCAGCTTGATTTGGGGGGGGGCAACATTTTTCAGAGGGCGAGGCCCTTTGCCCCCGGTTCTGCCGCCACTGATACCAAGCATAGTTGTTGTTCTACCAAATAATATGAATGAACTCTTTCAAACTGATGGAGTACTGGAGTACTTTAAAACCAGAATCAGGCAAAGGTTGAGAAATGAGTGCAACTACCACATGGTCATTCGTTCTCTGAATAACTTTATATCGCTTTGCTGCATCAACGATGCCATATCCACTACTGTTGGACAACACATGAATGATGTTGATGAATAAGCTGACATTGAAATATATCGATACTGCGGTTAATTATAATGACTCTTACAGCTTAAATTTATATAGTAATTACGTACTGTAGTTGAGCAAAACAGTTTTTTCTCGTAATTGAAATGTATACAATGTGAATCGTTACAAATAATCGCAATTTTAGTTTTTCGCTTCTTAAAAGAAGTGTTTTTAATTATTAAAGCTATTGTTTATTTTTCACCCCAGTATTCTAGCAGTTATTCTAATGAAATAAATTTTCAAATTTTGGAAGATGAATTGGCAAATAATATATCTACATATCCGGATTATAATTTTTTTGTCGTGGCGACTTTAACGCCAGAACGGCAACGGAACCGGACTTTACTGAACATGATAACAGGGATTTTTTCGCAGATCAAGTAAATATACAAGAACCCACGTTACCAAAAAGTCTTCCCACGGTTCGTGCAATTATTGCATTTGGCCATTTATTATTAGATTTATGTAAAACTCTGATTTAAAAATTCTTAATGGCCGATTATTTGAAGATAAAGGACTAGGCTATTTTACATGTATTAAATCTACAGGTGCCAGTGTAATTGATTACGTCCTTAACATATTTTGACAATTTTGAACTGTGTAGTGAATTTTCCATAGTTAATAGACCCGATTCTGACCACTTGCCAATCACATTTAGACTGAAAACTCTAACCCAAAATGAGAACGAATCCTCAATTGAGGCAGTATTTTTACTAGATATAATTGGAATGTATCAAAACAGGATCAATTCCATACATTTTGGGAAGGAGAAACTGCAAAGCTCTTGGTAGAAAGATTTCACACTTTAGCAAATATGGGCGATACTATTGAAGCTGCTAATATTTTATCTGATTTGTTATTTAACGCAAATATATGAAGCAACAGACCAGGAAAACCCTAAATCAGTTTCGAAATTGTAGATCTGTTGTTAATCTTGAAAACTAAATTACTCACAGAAATAATTATCGTATATTGCTAAGGGACAAAAAGAAATTATTTAACAATCTCAAAAAACGTGAACTTTACATCTCTGCAAACAATCCGAATACAAAAGAATTTTGGAATTTATTAAATAGTAAGAAAAGTGGCTCATCTACAAAAATCCAACCAATTATGGGAATGAAAGTAACATGTTTTTAGAAGAAGTTCAAGACTATCTTGATAATTTATTAATTTTGCCAGAGTCAAATGCAGTTATTGACTATCAGATTTTAGATCAAGCCATTACAATTGTGGTATTGGAACAAGTCCTTAGTCGGTTAAATGCAAATAGGACAGCTGGTATTGATGGTTTATCGCCGGAAATATTTAAGCATATTTAAACAATTACTTGTTAAACTTTTCAATACAATACTTAATACTGGTATATTCCCTCCACAATGGGTGCATGGTTTAATTATTCCTGTCTATAAGAAGGGTGAAAGAGATTTAGTTCATAACTATAGAGGTATTACATTATTGCTATCGATGATAAGAGTTTTCAGTGATATTATATATCACCGTCTGCTTAAATGGGTCAACTTGCACTATCCTATTGTGGAAGAACAGGCTGGTTTCCGTAAAAATTATTCATCAGTTGACAATCTATTCGTTTTATCAACCATTATTGATCGTTATTTGTAATTAGGAAGTAAATTATACTGCGCATTTATATATTTTGAAAAGGCATTTGATAGGATTAACCACACCTTACTCTTTTATAAACTAACAAAATCTGGAATGGGTGGCAAACTATTTAAAGTATTGAAGTCAATGTACCAAGATATCAGGGCATGTGTTCGCTCCCCAGTAGGTATTTTTGAGTTGTTCAAATGTGAAGTAGGAGTCCAACAAGGCAGTGTTTTATCGCCACTCCTTTTCTCACTCTTTGTAAATGATCTTGGCGAATCAATACAACACAGCCACACCGGAGTTTTTATAACGCCTATAAAATTATGTTATTTGTTATTTGCAGTTTTTATCTCTTCCATGGGTTTACAACGTTTTCTGAATAATTTGGATCTCTATGCAAATAAATGGAGACTAAAAGTTAATATTGATAAATATAAAGTAATGGTATTTAGGCGTGGGGGCAGATTGAAATCAACTGAGCAATGGTGGCTTGCAGGACATAAACTAGAAGTTGTTTCTTATTATAATTATTTGGGTATAGTATTGTCGAGTTCTGGGCTTTGGAATTATGCCCAGTCTAGTTTGGCCAAAAAAGCGTCAGGATCGTTGTTTGCAATTAAGAAAAGTATTTCGCAATTCGAAGGTATTGATGTAAATATTGCGTTTGAAATTTTTGATGGTAAAATCCTACCAATTTTAATGTACGCTAGCGAAGTCTGGGGCTTTCACAATGGCAATCAAGTTGAAATTATACAAAACAAATTCTGTCTGTTTATATTTAAAGTCTATCATAACGCACCAAATGTGGCTATAAGGGGGGAGGGTAGGTAGGTTTACTATTAAAACGTTTTGACTTATTAGGATTATTAAAGTACTAGCTTCGCATTTTATCATTACCCCGACACAGACTGGTCTATTTATGTTACATGTTTCAGTACCATGAAACAGAAAGGGGTAAAAAGTGTTGGGCCTTGAATTTTAAAATGTTACTTCTTTCTTATGGTATGGGCGTGGCATGGTACAACCAAGAAGTGGGGAACTCTGAATACCTTGTTAAGCTTTTCAAACAGCGATGTTTGGACATTGATATTCAAAAGTGGACTCAAGTTATTTCCGAAGCTGTATTTTTATAGAAAATTTAAATATATATTTGGTCAAGAGAATTATCTTAAAACAGTCCAAAACGACTGTTACAGGGAAGCTTTGTGTCGCTTACGAATGTTTTGCCCATTGTCTGCGTATTGAAACTGATATAAAATTCCATAATACACGCACAGAAAGAGTTTGTATTTTATGTAATACCAATTGCGGACGAATACCATTTTTTCATAATCTGTCCGTTTTACCAAGAGTTGAGATCTAAATACATCCCAAGTTATTTCCCAAGTTATTATACATTTCTCTCACCCGAAAAAATTATATCGCTACTACAATTATAAAATGCAGTAATCTTGCATAATATTTCTAAATTTATTTTTCTCGCCACAAAAAAACGTATTTTGGTCTGACAGTTCACGTTCTTTTCTGTAAAATGTTATGTAAATACAATGCGTATACCTTGAGGTCGGAGGCCTACAGTATGAATAAATTTATATTTATTAATGCAATGTTAATTGCCTTTTAAAATTGCGAATAAAAATCTCCTAATGATAAAAACCAAATAAACGATTGTTCATGTGTGTGGCGTCTTTAGTGTATTAATCCATCAATGTCTTCACAATAGTTCATTAACA